CGCCACTGCCTGTGGGCGCTTTTGCCTTGCAGGGAAACTGTAATTTCTCTCTAGGTTTCTCTTTGTTTAGGAAAATGCCCTTGGGGGCGAAAGGTGAATTGCACTCCACTTTTGAGTGGGAAGAATTTGGAGTTTCCAGAGTCAGCCTGAAGAGGAGGAAGGGAGGGGCTGTGGACTAGAATGAGATGGAAGGAGATCGTCAAGGGTCCTTAAGGAAATGGGGGCAGAGGGAGAGCCTGAAGAGCATTTAGAGAAAACTAAAAGTTAAGGCTTTCAGTGGTGGAAATAACTGAGGGAATTTTAGGAGGGTGGAATCAAATGATGTTCACTTGTTTTTTTTTTTTTTTTGCTTTGGGGATGGAACTCCGGACCTTGAACATGCCAGGCACGCACTCCACCACTGAGCTGCACCTCAGCCCAGCATTCATTTTAAATTGTTTGCTCAGTTGTTCTGGGATCTAGTGCCTAGCCCCTACCACCTCCCAAACCTAAATCGGTATTAAAACTCAGCTATTTGCCAGGTGTGGTGGTGGCGTGCCTGCATCCCAGTGACTCAGGAGGCTGAAGCAGGAGGATTGCAAATTTGAGGCCAGCCTCAGCAATTTAGAGAGGCCCTAAGCAACTTGTCTCAAAGAATAATCTCTGGGGATGTGGCTCCGTGGTTAAGTGCCCCTGGATTCAATCCCCAGCACCAAAACACTAACCCTCAGCTGTTTCCTACAGCTTTGGTTGGGGTACAAGTTTGGAGAAAAATAAAAATTCCCTGCCTCTCTCCTCTTCAGTGTTTATTTCCACTCTGTCATCTTCGATCTAGTGCCTGTCCCTCTTCAGCTCACCACCCTCCCCTGACTCTCCACTTTACCCAGTATGACTTGAGTTATTTGGGCTTCAAGGCCCAGGCCATTGGACATCTCCTCACTCCTCCTTACCCCTCTGCCCCCATGCCCCTCCATTGCTTTGGGCGAGGCACACTGGTCTTCCTGCTGTACCTGGAACAGGTACAGCTTCCTGCTGCTTGAGGGCCTTAGCACGGGCTGTTCCCCCTGCTGGAACATTCTTCTCCCAGATAGCCACTGCCTCAACCCCTCACTCCTTCAAAGGTCTGTTCAAAAGACACCTTCTCAAGCCCCTTACCTAATACTGCAGCCTGTAGCCCCTCCCAGGTCTTGCAAACGCTTTCACCCTGCCCTGACTTGGTGATAAGCACTTACCCCTATGCCTCCGAACACACCAGCCAACGTTTTTATCTGTTCACTGTACTGCCTGTCTCTCTCCACTGGATTTTCATCTCATGAGGGCAGAGACTTTGCCTTTCTGGTTTAAAACTGCATCCACAGGGTCTAGAACAGCATCTGGTATACATGAAGTACTTAATAAAGACTGGCTGAGTAAGCTGGGCATGGTGTGCTGTCTGTCCCAGCTACGGGAGACTGGCAGAAGGATCTCTTGAGCCCAGGAATTTGAGGCCAGCCTGGGCAACAGAGAGATCCTGTCTCAAGGAAAAAAAAAAAAGTGGCTGAGTGAATGAATTCAGGCTGGACGGTGGGCTGGGCCCTGCAGTGGAGAGGTAAGACCTCATTCCATGGAAAAGTGGCCAAGAGGAGTCCTCCTCAGAAAAAAGCAAGAGGAAAACAAGAGACACTTTCAAGGAGTGTACAGGGAAGGTGTGTGTGTGTGTGTGTGTGTGTGTGTGTGTGTATGTGTGTGTATTTGTGTCTTTTCTATTTTAAAAGAAATAAAAACAATGCCTGCTTTAGGGAAAGGGGACTTGAGGTTTGTGCAGCTCCTTTGTGAGTGGGAAATGGCTCATGGATGGGCCCCGGGACAGGCTGGGTGCTTTATTTCCAGGTAGGAGATGCACATCCTTCCTCTCTTGTGAGGTCACGTGCCCTCCCAGCAGCCAGAGCCCTTGTGCCTTGCTGGGAGGGTGGCACTTTCCAGTGCTGTCCACTGGGGTAACCACTTGCCACATCTGGCCATTTACATCAGAATTTTAATTTAAAATCACATTCCTTCGTCACACCAAGCACACTCAATAGCTGGGGACTGCCCGTGGGCTGCACAAGTCTAGAACCTTCGCATGGTTGCAGAAATGTTCTGTCTATTGGAGATACCTGCCTGTCACTGGAGTCTGCTCGGGGCACACACGTGCCTGTCTCCTAGTCTGGAATGAAAGCTCCAGGGACTTTGATCTGTTCATTGCTATGCCCCCGCACTCTGGCTTAGGAAGACCTTAATAAATATTTACTGGGTGCACGAATGAATGCCTTTTAACTTCCATGTCATTAAGGGTTATCTTGTCAAGGAGATCATGGCTTATTATTTTCTTCTTTGTTCCTCTCTATATTAAAAAAATATATATCCCAAGGGCTGGGGTTGTGGCTCAGTGGTAGAGCACTTGCCTAGCATGTATGAGGCACTGGGTTCAATTCTCAGCACTGCATATAAATGAATAAAATAAAGCCCACCGACAACAAAGAATATACCAAAAACTACGTGTGTGTGTGTGTGTGTGTGTATCCCAAGAAAAGATAACACAAAAATCCCCCCAAAAACACCATCATTGGAATTCCAGGAAAAATATGGTTTAGATCACCCTACAGTAAAGTTTAGCAACCCTGCTCAGCACTCATAAGCTTACCACTTCCAGAATTCTAGACCTCCATTCCCGAATGGGAACAGATACAGAGGATTACTGGACATCCCATAAAGATACAAAATGAATAAATGGGGGAGGGGGAGGGAGCTTTGGTGGAAACAGTGAAGATGAGAAAATATCTTAAAAGTAAAAAACTGTAATGTCAGAAAAATAAGATACTACAACTTTGAACCATGATAGGATTCTGTAAAATAGCATAATATGAAATTCACAAAATACTATAAAAGTCCAGAGACCAAAAAAAGAGTTGTTAATAATATACTTGACTGAGGATGTTGCTTAGCAGTAGAGTGCTTGCCTAGTATGTGTGAG